CGTTTCCACTGTTTACAAAAATCCCAGTTCACACGTGCTAGCTATTGGCGACGTGAGTGATCGAAAGCGTACGTCACTGTGGTCGGTCTTCCACGATAGGCTGAATGCTGACTATGACGTCAGCAAAGGATATCCCATCGACGGAAATAAGAGTAATGTAAGAATCTCATTTTGACGGTGTTGGCAGTCTCGGTATGAGAGTGCTATGACTTCAAACTTCCACCATGCTCTTTACAAACAACATCAAACTTGTTGTTCAATAAGTAATGACGTCACGAGAGGTAACCATAGGAAAGCGCCACCAAAACATCTCGCCGCCAATACCGTCCGTTTCACTTTTAGTGACAGCGAGGCCGAGGCTACAAGCGTGAGCATGTGGCCCTGAACAATGCTTGCACTCCACAAGTGCGCGTGCTTCACAGGGACGCTGAAAGCCCGGAGCTCGCGCTTGCAGCATCAGCTGCGTCTGAAGCTAAGCTGAAACGAAGTATACGTCAGTCCAGCCAGCGCTCGCGCGCTGTAGACCTATTGCTCTATTACCCGAGCATCAAGGATAATGCAAGGATTGGTGTTCCACGCGCCTCACGTGCTGGCCACAGCAGTAGTAACTTTTCTAAAGCAAAAACCTAAAACAAAGTGTATTTTGCACGCGCGTTTGTCAACGCTTTATTTTGGTCGTTTACTTAGAATATTACATACGGGGAAGGCGTGCGCGTGTGACGCGTGGAACACCAATCCCTGCATTCTCCTTGATGCTTGGGTAATATAGCAAATGGTCTATTGCGGCCAGCCAGAAAGTGTGTCCGCATAAAACACAATCACAGTAATGAACGTGTCCTCAAACGTTTTTATGGAAAGATGTATACGCCGCCAATGTTTTTAACATAGCCACGCATCGTGGTTGGCAGTGCACAGGGCGCGCGCTGAGTTCCACGCATTGCTAAGGTTCGGCTATCTCCGTCATTCCAGCGATTCTGCACGAGCAGCTGCACGAATGTGTGTCAAGGCACTGACTGTAACGGGCCAAAATCAAATGCCTATGCAGTCTTCGTTTCCACTGTGTGAGCAGCATTTAAAGCTCTTCGCAGCGGGGATCGCAAAGCTCGATGACGCAATCCTGGGGATCGCATTGTTGGCATTATCCTCACAACTCCGTCATAAAGTTTTGCGAAAGAGAGCCTGAAAGAAAAGGTTCACTTTTATCCTTGGAATTCCAGCGCAACGAAGCTTCTTGTTCAGTGGCGTTGCGTTCAAGCACTTTTGGGTACCACTAGTGCCAGTACGCTGGTGTAAAGTGAGAAACTGTTTTACACAATAGCGACACTGACACCCCCCAAAAAAAAATTTTTATTTTTTGCCAGGCGCTTTATTATGGTGTCGGAGGACTACGCAATTAATATTTTGCAACAGAGTAGCGTATTTTTTTTAATAAAGCCAAAAGACGCAACTGCTCGAAACCGAAACCGAAACCCGACGGAGGTCGGAGAAGTGGAGAGAAGAGAATGAGTGGCGGAAGTCACGTGGCTACACCCGACCGTGCGTTTCTTTTTTTTTGTTTTTTGTTTTTTTTTTTCTCCTCTCCGTAGCAGACAACCCGACATGCGGCGTGCGATGCGGCGTGCGGGAACTGCTCGCCGTGCGATTCTTTTGCAGTTATGTTTGTTCCGCTCGTTGTTCTGTACTCCAAAATTAGTTATTTTGTACATTGAGGAGTTTGAGATGAGTAGTGAGTGCCCGTGGTGAATTTCCATGATCGGCTCCAAAAAGAATACACCAAGATGTTGCGTGAAGAGCTGGCTCACACGTCCTGCATCCGAAAAAAAGTGGCATTGTGCGACAGAGTTTCCGAAAGATCAACGGGATCGGGGCCAATGGCTGGCTGCAATACCTGTAGAACATATACGGGCACCTCGGAAAGCGGACGCTACCTGATTTATATGCTCCTTGCATTTTGTGGAAAGTGATTACATTGAGTTCGCAGGTGTCAAAATGGAAATCCCATACCATTTAATTCAGCGAAGTATCGTCCACAACATTTGTTTGCCATTTTTTTGTTTGTTTCTTCAGTGATGATTGGTAAAAAAAAGAAAAAGATATGTATACATCAAAAAATGTTTGAAAAAAAAAAATAAAGTTCCGCGTGGGGATCACCCGGTCCTACCGCGTGTGAAGCGGACGCCTTTCCCACTGAGCTACTGGGGCATCTCTTTTGCGGTGGATCTCTTTCCTTAGTAATAATTCAGCCGGTAAACTGTAAGTTGGAAAGTTTGCTGTCGATTTTTCTCTAGCAAAAGCACTCCCGGGTCGAAGTCGGGAAGCACCACGCTTTGGGGACATTCGCACCTAGTAAAGAAATCGTACGCGTGCATATTCAACTCGAAGTGGACACGTCGTGCTTGACGTTTGCGCGAGCCATGTCTTCAGCCACGAGAAGGGAGCGACGGCTCGGCGACGTCTTCGTGCAAATCGGCTTGGTCGCCGGGCGTGTCGTACGGGATGAATACCAATTCTTTTGATCAGTCCCAAATTTCTCTTTTAAAGGCAGACAAAATTCGCCGGTACCGCGAACGACAGTTATGAAATAGAGGTCCCACGCCCGTCGTCCGCTGCTATCGCCGTCCCGCGAGTCCCACGATACGCGAAACGACGAACGCAGAGAATGCTTCCGGTTGTCTGTGGAACTATTTTTTTCAATCAACGTATTTACAGCTTTTTTGAAGCCACAAAAAATGGGTTTCATATTTTTTTCTATTTTTAATATTGAGTGTGTGCCTTCAGTGACCCACGACTTTGATTAAATTTGGTGGTCGCATCGATACCTTAGAAAACGGCCCGTGACCTCGAAAAAGAGAGTGAGCGAGACTCGAACCGGCCAGTTCTTGATCGGTGGTTTTCGGGCGGAAAGAAACCGAATTTCGAGCCGCAAATTCTGTTCTGGGTAGTTGAGCTCTCATATGTCACGTACAACTAAAAACCTCGGCGAGCATAAATACCCTGTCAGTGTCCCTCTAAACCTTAAACGTCCCTCTAAGTTTTTTTTTTTTTTTTTTTTTTTGCCGATGTTGAGACGTTAATTTGCTATGGGTTGTTTAAAGGTAACATGCAAAGGAAAAAAAACAATTTTTTTTTAATGCAGCCTGGACGGGAACAGGATGCCGTAAAATGAATTTACAACGAACAAAAAATATTTTAAGAGCTATATTTACGACGCGAAGCGCATTTGTAGTTGGCACATGCCGGAGCCGCCACTGGTCACGTGCTATAAATCTGTCCACCGCCTTGCCGCACCGTCGCCTTGCCGCACCGCCGCCACGGCAAGCAGGGCGTGGCGCGCCACGCCCCCGCCGCCGGAAGGGAGCACTCCTGTGCGCCACTGCCGTCAATTTCTGACCGGCGCACAGGTCTATCGCGTGGTTTTTGCGCTCTTTCAGGAGCTTCCTTTGGTCTCTTGAAGTTGCTTATTAGCCTTATTTTTTTTTTTGCACTTGAAACGAAGATCTTTAAGTAACTTTTAGAGCCTTTATTAAACTCCCGAAAAAGCGCAAGCACCACGTTACCATAGTGGCCATTCACGTGACCACAGCGGCCTCGTTTCCGCGTGCTCCCCCGTGGCCGCGAACCTAAAAGTGTTTTTATTTTTTTTTTTTCGTGGTAAATTTTGTTGTATGACATTTTTTTTAAATCTAGACTGTTTAAATATTTTTTTACTTTGCATGTGTTTGTTTTAATTAGGTTGATTACGTACACCATAATAAACATACCCACTTCAATTTTGTTGGGTTTTTTATCCCCCCTCCCCACAATATCTTGACCAAGAGAGATAGAGCTCATGTTGAAACTTCGCCAACTTCCAGAGTTGCAGGATTTCAGTTCAAAAACCCAGGTATGGTGCGACAAACGAAATATTGTACAGTCTTTACATTTATTTTGTCCGAAATGCCACGGGACCTTTTCAGAATTCGGCTATCATTGATGACCGCGACATGTACATAGCACACCGAGCATAGGTGAATCTTGCGATTAAAATAGACTTCATATCTTAACTCATCTCTCATTCAGAGCTTTTCAAAATAAATAAGTAATATTCCCACTTCATTCCGGAAACCTGCTTGCGCAACTGAAATATGTAATGTTTTAAATGAACCTAAAATGAGGTATCCTTACTCCTGGGCATTGAAACAGAAAACAAATAACGATCACTCGGAGAACTTGGTTTCTTTAGAACCAAAACAAACTCAACGACTCAAGAATGCCTTTGCTCGTACACTTCATAAACAAGACGAACACGAGTTTTGGCAGTCATTAAAATTATACTCTCAGCCGTGCCTGCACTGTACTGGCCTACTTTGCACTCCCAAAATCGATCATTATTATTTCTTTAGTTTGTATAGCAAATTATAAGGATATCGGTATCATGCTGTGATTCTTGTTAAGTCTCAGTGCCGAAAGGGCCTGACGCCTATTTTTACTACTGACACTGCACAGCCACTGGGTGCTATCCAATTAACCCTTCTCATTGGCTATACGCTTAAAGAAAGGTCAATGATTGGTGTTCCTGCCGTGCATCTTAGAAGGCAATATGGTGCTTTTGAGAGCGTAGTAAGTTCAAGTCGTAGAGTTAAGAGTGACACAGTCATATCAAACAAGGGCGAATGAACAGTGAAAAGGGCGCACGCCCCAACTTCACTCGGACATAAGAACACGAGGCTTTTGCTTTGTCCACACCACGTGACATGAACTACGTTAACAGACAATAACAAAACAAAGTCACCTCAACCCTGCAATTTATCGGGGTTTTCAACATTCAGCAACGACGCACAATCAATTTCTCAAAAAAAAAAAAAAAACATAAAGTACACAACCGAGCAACACGCCACAGCGGTTCATGATCACAGACCGACGGCCAGTCCTCGCGGCATTGTCCTTCGCACCAGGACCGACCACAAGAACCGACCAGTACCACCCTGTCCCCGTTCGCAGTCGTCGCACTGCGCGATCACCTACACGTCGACATGGCGGCCGCCGCCAAACAGGACCAGAGGAGGCCGACTAGGCACCGTCCGGCGTCCGTCAGTAGACCGGAAGCAGCCCCGTTGCCCCTGTGCTGCTGCTGTGCCCTGGACGATGACGCCAGCACATCCGCGCCCTTTTCGCTGATTCAAGACGACCTCGATGTCGTTCTTCGTCAGCTGCGCATCATCGTCGTTGCCGGCTTTGTTCTTCTCGTCGGGATCGATGTCGGGATCTGGAGAGGCCCCGTCGTTAATCCTGTTACCGGACTCGTCCGCGGCTGCCTTGTGCCCTTTCCCGGCGGCGGTCGGCGGCGGCGGGGCCGAAGCCTTTCGGGTGGCGGAGTGGGCGATGGCGGCGGCGCTGCGGAACCCTGGCCTGGCGTAGTCGGCGGGGCAGCCCAGCTGGCTGGCGCTGAGTCGGGACACCTTGCTGCTGCTCAGGTTGCCGCTGGCTTGGAAGTCGCACTTGACGTGCCTCAGCTCGCGCCGGAGCTTGTCGTTCCTGGTGGCGTTCTCCAGGTGCAGCATCCACACAAGGCGGCAGTCGCAGCTGAACTTGTTGCCTGGAGGAAAACGAGAACCGTTTATCGATCGATTGATTGACTTGATTGACTAATCGGCAGATGATCTGTGTAATTGACAAACTGCCTGACTTAGCTTATGCTTTTTATGACGTCCCAATTATTATGTCCCGCCAGCATCATGGGTTGTATGCACATTTAAGGGGACTAAAAACAAAGGATTTATTGTAAAAGCATTTGTTGGGCTAGATGCGGATGACTGTTTTCAACCACGGTTGAAAAGCCCTAAAAAGACGAACAGAAATACGAAGTAATCATCGGCGCTACTCACAACTGCATTTAAAAAATGAAAGCCGTTTACAACTCCTTGTAACGCCGAATTAGAGCGCAGCTCTTGAGGAGGAGGAGGAGGGAAAGGTGCTGAGGGTCACGTGTTCTCAGGGAAGGGGGGGGGGGGGGGTCAAGCGACCTACCAGAGAAATTTTTCCGCTAGATTAATTTTTTCGCTAGATTTAGCGGGGAAATGTTTCCGCTAGATTTAGTGGGGAAATGTTCCCGCTAGATTTTGCGGGAAAATTTTTCCTTGGAATTTTCCGCTAGATTTAGCGGGGAAATTTTTCCACTGGAATTAGCAGGGAAAGTTTTCCGCTAGATTTAGCGGGGAAATTTACCCATAATGCACCGCGCGGTTAGGCCGACGCCGCTTAAGCCGCAAACGGGCGCCTAAGAGCTGCGCTCTAAAACAGCGATAGAAGTACATATAGATATATATATCTGGATGAACCTATAGCCCCTTGGCTATGCATGCGCCAGGATACGCGCCATTCAACCAGTTTACATACATTTATATATATATAAAAAAGAAGTATATCGGCATCACACAATGCAATCGACGTGTAGTTGACGCCTTGGGGCCCCCTCTTCCTTATAAAGTATGGTTCTCTCAGTTCGCGTGCTTTTTGATTCTTGTTTCTGCCTATAGAATTTTGTTGTCACCGAATCGTGGCTCACATTTGCAGGCCTTACAGGGCGTGGATGAGCGAAATTCCCTGATACGGTCTTGATGAATGCGGCCGGAGCCATCCTACAGAAAGTAAAAAACCGCACAACCCGGAGCGTGACGCAGTCGGCAGAGAGCGACATAAGTCCTGAAGTCGTACCTTACGTATACAAAATGTTGCATAACCTCAAGAGGGTCGGGAACACGTATGAAGTGCCTCTCGTGTTTTCAGCTCCCAAGAAACTTGGCCAAATGTGTCCTCGAATGGCTAGTGAAAGCAAAAACGAGCGAGGATTTGGTACGAAGCACGTCAGAACATGTATCGAATGCGTCACGGTGGTCGTGTATGAGATACCGCTAACGTGTGGAAACTATTACGTTGGGCAAACGGCAAAGTGCACCAATGACCGTTTGAGGGTGGGTGCATAACATTCGAAGACAAGTGATGGGGCACATTTGCCCACGCAGTGTAGGGCCTGCAAATGTGAGCCACGCTTCGGTGATACCAAGATTCTAGGTAGAAGCCCGATTCAAAGACCACGCGAACTGCGAGAGGCATACTTTATCCCTGCGCATGTGTAGCCTGAGTGACGATAGGTGTATCAACATATACATGTATATGTGTGCTTCTATATTCTTTTTTCGAATACATTTGTTAGTAGCGCCCTTGTTTGTCTTCTCTTGTGTTCGTCGTTTTAGCGCTTTTAACCATGGCTCAAAAAGGATCCATTGTCGAATCACCGTTGCAAAGAAATTATATAAAGCGTAAATAAGTTTTGTATAACTGACGCGGGTGGTCCTAGAACGTCAAGTAGCTAGGTATTGTTCCGACATCCGAGGAAAGGGTATTGACTGAAATAGATTAAGTCAGCTAGAGTTGATAGTCTCCCAAATTATAACATGTTGGGAGAGGAGGTGCTTGGAGACAGCTACACTTGGTGTGAAAGGCCCATAGTCAACGAAAAACATAAAAACTATAAGGTCTCAAAAATTACGCACATTTCACGTCACGCAAAATACAGTGGCTAAGCCAGCCGATGCGTGAAGCATTCGTGACATTCTTCTTGGTCACACGCGGAACATTCAATCAAGATGTCCGGAAGCCCAAATGTTCTTCAAAACTATCACGAGGTACATCATCAGCTTCCACGCAATAAATGTTCTGGGAAGTACAAACAAACCTAGAAGGCAGCAGACACTGGTAAGACTTTGAAAATAAACCCCCTGCAGGAGGAATCAAAATCGACGAACTGTTTCGCCAAGAGACTTAGTTGTGTGCCTCTCAAGCCGCGGTCATGCGTTGTTCCCTGCAGACATGATGGCAACATTATCTGCGAGCACGCCTCAAGCAGCTTCCAAGCACGTTGCTCCATGCATACTTTGAACATGGCAGGCTTTGTACGTACAATCGAACAGGGAATTCGCATATAAGGCATGCCTCTGACGGTGTTTGCACACTTTATGTGTTGTAGAAACTATGAGCAGTGTGCCCGTGGCTTTAGAGAAAAGCCGGCTAGTGTTCTCACTGTGCGGCGTGCCTAGGTGATGCCTAGGAATAAATAAAGCTACCCTAGAAGCTTAATGAAGTAAAACAATAATCTCACTTCGTTATTCTTCCTACATTGATTCGGAAAAAGTACAGCGTACATGGATTCCCTGCTCGCAGAAGCTCCTGTATGTATATTGCCTCAAGATGCACGCCGAACGTCAGCCATCGATTTTTCTTTAATCAGCTCTGCTAATGAAAAGGGCGAGCGGTTTCGCAAATGAGGATAGCGGACCGTATTGCGCCCCTCCCAGCAGCATGCAGTCTCGGTAGCGGGTGCTTTCCAAGAAGAAAATGGAGGCATCAAGTTAGAAAGAAAGAAGAAATCGGGAACTGGCAATACCAGAGCAAACAAAAAATAATAAATAAAAGAGGCAGACGAGAACATTGGGGATGAGTAAAACGAGAGGGAAGCCTAAATTAATATCCGGGAATTATTAATTAGCGGGAAATTGTCTCTACACAACAGCAGTTCCGCTAACCCGGGAAACTTCAACACGTTCAGCAGCGGGTCTCGCACCGTGCGTAAGTTAACGAGTACAACCGGTAAATAAGATAATGACCTCTCCAGAAAGATTTCGAATTCTAGCTTCAGAAAATTTGTCGAAGAGCAGGCGACGGTGGTTATTGGACTATACGCGACTGAAAAATATCGTACATTTGTTGGCAGTCCTTGTGGCGAGGACAAGACAAAGTCTCCAAGATACGGAAGCAAAAGAAGCATCCACCTCTTTGTGCCACCGAGACAACACTGATTTCATAGCGTGAGACTTATCACCTTTCTCGTTAGCTGATCCGATTAATCAAAAAGCCAGGAAAACTGTTCCGTGTTCATTTCGGTGGAGTACACAGACGGAGATTTCTGAGGGTGTAGACAAAACAAGAAGCACCAAATAGAAAATAAAAACAGGAGGCAATTTTTCTTCTGCTTTGCCAATCTTGACATTTCTGTGGTCCGTGGAAACCGAGTTGGAAAGGTATTATAAGCGGGACCAAGGATTTGCTGAGTTCACGAAGAAATATTACGTTCCCTCTTCGGCTCAATTTAGGCTTCAGAAAGGAAACGCCTTTTTGCTTTCTATGGTTTTTTGCCCGGATCAGCGATTGAATCCGGCGGCTCCGGCACGATCCTGGAGGTCGAACAATGCGCCATCAAGAAAGGAGATTACATGTAATTCATAAGAAAAAACGCACTTAATTCTTGTTCATCCGGGTCGTGTTTGAGATCATAAAGAAGGCCAACATACGACATCCCCCCAAGTAATCAGAAAGGCGCCGTTTTTTTTCCTCCAGGTTAGAAGGTGAGAAGCGATAGATTGGCTCTTCTCATTGTGGATACAGTTTAATTGGCGCTTCAGATGTGGATTTAAAAAAAACACCAAAAAATTGCTTTTTTTTTTTGGGGGGGGGGGGAGGTTGGAATATTATCTTCAAGTGTATTTGCGTCTCCAGCTCGTTGCTCGCCCTCTCGTGGCAGAAACGAAAAGCGCTCTAACGAGGGTTCCCCGGTTCTCCTTGAAGGAAAGTGTGTGTGTGTGTGTGTGGGGGGGGGGGGGGGGGGGGAGGGGGGCTATGCAAGACGGCGAGACAAAGGGACCGGCACATTGCCGCCTGGTGCGATGTCCCCGCCCCTTCTTCCCGCCATCTTTCATAACCCCCCTGCTCAGCGGGCACGGCGGAGCAGCTCGCGACCATGGCTCGGCAACAGCCAGCTCTGAATGCAAACAGCACTCTTCACTGTATCATTGTAATGTTGCATTCCATATCGGATTCGTACCATACTGTTTCGCCGGTTTTCCAACGTGAACGAAAGGTGCCGCAGTGAACGTACCTGCAAGCGGGTAAGCGTTCATCTGTAACTGAAAGGCGGAGATCGGCAAAACGATTGCGTGCAAAAATAATTTAAAAAAAAATTATTTTGGAAAATTTAGCAATTTGAAAAATAATTACGGAATCGCTTTTCTCCGCACGTTTGTTTCAAAATAACTGGTGTCAAATTTGGTACCTTTACCGATTATAAAACATCGTGGCTTTGATAGCCCTAAGTGCTTTACCCACAATTAATGCCTGGACATAGATTAGTCGTACTAGACAGATTATTTTAATTGGTGTAGCACTTTTTTAATTTATACCTTGTGTGCTCTGCGGCCCATCATGGGCCAAAAGAACGTGTGCTCCGCGCCCGGCGCGCAACGTGCGCGCGAGCCACGTTGGAGGCGCGGGGCTCGGGAGTCGGTTGGCTGCCGCCAGACAGTAAAGGTGTGTTCTGTGAGATCTGCCTCGTTGGTCCTTCTTGCGGGTGAGCAGTAGCACCGAACCCTACATTATTTGGCGCTCCACGCGAGGCCTACTGCTCCCCCGCGGGTTGGACCGCAGGCTTTTAGCCCGTTTTAGGCGTGTTCGCCCGGTTTTCTCGCTTTCGCCATCCCCGATAGGCCTACGTGGTCGTTCGACTAGGCTTCGGCCACCGGACGCCATCTTTGCCATCGGGGCTTG